AAAAAAAAAAATCTGTAGCCTAATATGAGCTCTCTTTCCCTCCTTACAGCCCTCTACTTCTCTTTCCCGTGTTAAAAAACAGAACAAAAAGCAAACAAGAAAAGTTCAAGGCCTGCTCTTGGGCTGAGTATCTGTCGGCCGTATGGTTTTAAGTGGAAACTGTCTCTTTAAATTTTGAGGAGATCTATGCACATGCGTAGTAGAAGACTCTTAGGGTGGAGCTGGGGTATCCACTAGCTCAGGCACCCCTATAATTACCAGAATGGAGGTATGCAGACAGCAAGGGACCAACGAAAAGATAGAGACTTTTGTTGATGTGCTTGTTAATTGCTATTGAGTCAGTTCACACCTCTATCTCTGCGGCTCTGTCAGGCGTCCGTGGCTGCTCTGATCCTTTCCCCACTTGGCCCCACACAAAATGGCAGCTCCTGGAGCAGCTGAGTGTCTCGAATTAGAAAGCAATGGATTTCTTGCTTCTGCCACAAACTCCCCAGCTGTAAGTCTTCCAACCTTCTAAGTATTCCTTTATATGTGGTTCAGAGTACTGGGGCCATTCCCTGAGCCTTCTTGGTCCTGTATTCTGTGTTGTTCCTGGCAGAGCTCGTCACTGCACTTCCACCCTATCAGCCATCTTTTTCCAGAAGTTGTGTGTGTGGTTTTTATTTGGATGGTTTTATGTGTGTCTGGTGTGTCCATGTATGCTGCTGTGTGGTGTTGAGGTAGACATTGATGTCTAGTGGCATTGACATGAGTGTGTCTGACTGTGGTGTTATATAAAAGTTATATAAAACCTTGGGGGTTTCAGGTGTCTGTGGGTCTTCTATGACCTGTAGCAGGTCAGGTCCTCTGGGTACACATCTATTGTTGGTGTTATTATTTTTGTTGTTGTTAAGTGACCCTGTATAGGGATTCTGAGGCTGTAAATCTTTACGGGAGCAGAATGCCTTATCTTTCTCCTGCGGAGCAGCTGGTGGTTTCAAACTGCTGACCTTGCAGTTCACAGCCCGATTCATAACCACTACACATGGGTCCTAATCCTGCCCTAAAATGCCACACAGGAAATGCTAGTCCTTTTCTCAAGGAGGCAGAATAGTGGATTGTTGAAGCACGTGAAGTGTGGGACCGAACTGTGTGAACTCAAACCTCTTACTATCTGGTGACACAGGTGCTTCAGTTTCCTCATGTGCTTCAGTTTCCTCATGTGCCAAATGAAGATATTAACAGTACTTGTGAGGATGAAATGAGGGACTACCATCACTTGTCTGTCAGTTTGACATACTGTGGTGGCCTGTGAGTTGCTGTGATTCTGGAAGTTATGCCCCTGATATTTTAAATACCAGCAGGTTTCAGATGAGCTTCCAGACAAAGACAGACTAGGAAGGAGTGATGGACTACTTCCGAATATTTAGTCACTGAAAACCTTATTAATAACAGAAAAACACTGTCAGATATACTGCCAGAAAATGAGTCCCTCAGATTGGAAGACACTCAAAATATGGATTGGCAAAGTGGCAGCATCAATGGGCTGAAGTGTGGCAACAATTGTGAGGTTGGCCCAGGATTGGGCAGTGTCATAATGTTACTATGAGTTGATACCAATTCGATGGCACCTAACAACAACAACCACAACCAGCACAATATGTAGTGCAGTGCTAAACATAGGAAGAACTCAATAATGTAAACTCTTTTATTTCACAGTCTTTGGGAAATTGAAAGATAATGATCATAATCTTCCCAAACTTTTATAACCTCTAACTAAGCAGGGTTGTTCACAGAGCACAGAATAACTGATCGGATCTGCTCTAACCACGCATGCTCCCATTTCAACTCCCACATCCTTCCTTGTTTCGGAAGCATGAACAATCCTTTTGTCTAACAAAACTAATGCCAAACCTACAGCTCAGCCAGTTTGTTTCTGTTCAATCTTTTCATTCTGAACATCCCTCCTCTCCCAGAGCCTCCAATCCTGTGCCTATGTACTTTTGGCCCAAGTCTCAAAGCAAGCAAGAAGCTGTACTAGAATCTTAATAATCCTTGCAGATTCCCACCTTCTGATACTATTTGTGCTCCTTTCTTCCCCTATTGTAACTTGACTGCTTACTCAGGGCACGGATGATCTTTGTGAGGAAGATTTAGAAAGTTGGTGGGTGCAAAGACTCCACAAACTTGGACTTCATGATCAACTCGGATGGTAGCTCTGCCTACTCTGAGAGAAGGAGCAGACTAATAATCTCAGGTAGGGGGCTGGGAGGCAGCAAGATTGGCAGATTTGGCTGGCTGCTTTCTGGTGTAGGCCTGGAATTGTTTGGTAAAATGCCCATTGTTGGGACTCCTGGCACAGGTGGTTCCAGAACTAGCCTGGTATTCTGGGGTCCTGGAAATAGGCCATGGTGGAGCCAGAATCTTACAGGGGGTAGCAGAGATGGCAGGGTCAGGGTAAAGGAAGTGTGGAGGGGTACTCCAAGGGCAGGGGTGGTCATGGTATTTTTGGGACCTGTAGGACCTGGGATTGTATTTGCAAGTGTGCCTAGGCTCTGAGGTGATAGTGACCTAGGTGACAGGTCTCAGGGAGAGGGGATTTTTGGTGATAGGGCCCAGGCTTAAAGAAAGATAGGTTTGAGGAAGTTTGGTGAGGTGGGCACTAGGCTTAAGAAGTGATGGTATTTAGAGGTGTTGTGTACGAGGATACCAGGTATGGGCAGGTTGTTTGAAGTTTTGGAGGCAGGAACTCTAGGTCTAGTGTGTGGATCTGACATGTGGTGACTCCAAGTCTGAGATGTAGCAAGCTCTTGGGTGAATGTAATGTGGGTTGAGGGTCTGATGGGACAGGTTGTTTTGGTTGTAATGGAGCACCAGGTATGGAATAACATGTTTCCTAGTGTCAGATTTGGGCTGGGCTGGGGTATCCAGATTCAGAGGTGGGAGTTGTGACTTGGGATTCATGGATAATAGAATACCAGGATTCTGGTGTGATGAAGTGCTTAGCTACAGAGGCAATAGAGCACCAGAATCAGATGGTACAAGAGCAGCAGGTCTCATCCTGAAAGTTGGCTGTGCCAAGGTGCCAGAATCCTGTTGTGCTGGAGATTTGGGGCTATGGGTGTACTGAGATTATTAGGATTCTAAGGTTGTAGCATTATAGAATAAGCACCGGACTGCTACCCGCAAGGTCAGTTGTTCAAACCCACTAGCCGCTCCTCAGAAACCCTATACAAGGTTGCAATGAATTAGAACCGACTCAATGGCACTGAAAAACAGCAAAGAGTCTGACCCAGTGGCTCAAGATCCTTAGAACTTGGCATTTTCTTTATAGAGGCAGGAGCAGTTGAGGACATTGTTGTTGTTGAGAATCACCAAGTTTGTTCTGACTCATACCAACCCTGTGTAGGCTTTCTGAAGAGCAACTGGTGGATTTGAACCACCGACCTCAAAGTTGGCATCCAGCGCTTATCCTACGGTGCCACACCAGGACAGTTGAGGATATGTAGAACTTTAGTCTCACAGTCGTTGATTTGGAGGAGACCTTGGGGTGGATGCATGTATCTACCTCTAGCCTGTGCCTGCTAATGAAAGAGGCCATAATGTTACCTGACTCACCTGTGCTGAGGGTTTGTCTCCTGGCCTCTTTGCTGGCCTGCTTGGTCTGTACCATTACCAGGAAGTCAGATGGTGGTGGTGGTGGTGTGCTGTAGAACCAGTTCTGACTCATAGCGACCCTGCATAGGGTTTCCGTGGCTGTAATCTTTATAGGAGCAGAAAGCCTCATCTTTCTCCCATGGAATGGCTGGTAGTTTCTAACTGCTGTCCTTGAGGTTATCAGCCCGACTCGCAACCACTATGCTACCAGAGCTCCTTAAGGAAGTCAGAAGTGTGACAAAATTGTATTCAAGGGATAGGTTGAGAGTGTTGGCAGTCAGCAGGTGAGGAGTGGTGGTATTGTATGCCTGGAATCGTGCCTCCAGTAGCTCTCCAGGGGTGACATAGGCCCTGAGGCATTGTATGAAGTGAACCACATTGGGGCCTGGCTCTCCTGGGTTGCTGCTATTGGTGGCCACCTCACTGTGGCAGGCCTTCAGAGGCTGACCCTGGGGGACATGGGCAGATTAAGTGAATGCCCACTTCCTGTTCAACTGCCTGCACCTGACCTGGCACTACTATCTCTGAGGCACCAAAGTAGTTAGGTAAGTGCCCAAGGTGAGGCCCCAAACAAGTAGTCAGAACTCCCATCGGCCAGCAGGGGCATGGAGATCTCCTCATAGATACCCTCTAGCTGCAGGGCTATATCAGTGTCCTCATATATGTACCAGACTGCTTCCAGTTTTCCACGGACAGCAGCAAGAAGTCAGTATCATCCCCAAAGGCCAAACTGAAAAAGGGACACCTTGTGGCCCAATGCCTGGCAGACATTGGAGAGGATCATACCCGTGGTGGGCTCCCCATCTGTCGGGAAGATGATGAGAGGGATCCTCCCCACACTGGAGCCTGTCTCAGGCTTCTGGTTGCTGTGGTTGAGCAGTGACACAGCTGCCAGAAGAGCTGTGTCGATATCAGCTCCTAATTGGGGACAAGGCTGTGAGACCTTCTTCTGTCTTTAGTTCTACCCCTTGTAGACGACTGGGCACATCACCAACCTCCAAGGCTCATCACACCTTCTAATCTTTGCTCAAGCTGTTTCTGCTGCTTATCCTGCCTAACTTGCTCACATCCATCCAGATACTAGTCTCTCTCTTCCTTGAGTTCCCTGAGATCTGACAATGAGACCCACATGACTTTGGCTTTAATCGCTTCCTGTCCCAGACTATTCTTTGCCTACTTCCTAGGAGGTTGTCTCATTCACCAGTCAGATAGTTACCTCCCCCAAAGATAGAACGCCCCCATCTTCTTACTATAGAGGAAGAAAGGGCTGAGTTTAAAGGGGAAACTTCACTAATTGTCTGAGACAGCTGATCAAAAGCCAGAATCAGAGCAACAGCTTGCCCAAATGCTTGGAAATCAAGATCTATAGTATTGATACATCCCCTAAGACAAGTGGAGTTTGACTCAACAGTACTTAACAGCAACAGCATAGCCTTATGTCTCAAGGGCACTGTGTATCAATGATTTTAAGGTCCAAGGGCTGGCTACATAGCAGAAGGCTTGCATGATTCAAGATTTCTATGACCCCAGAACTCTTATGTTTTCTGAATCCCACAATTCCAGTGTGTTAAAACTTTGAAGCCAAAGCATCTGTGGCCTCAGGAAGGTTCAGAGTCTTTAATGCCTACTGTTTTATTGGTTCTTTCTAGCTTTTGGGTTCTATGACACTAGCCCCTTAGGATCCCTGTATTTCTGGGGCCATAAGGTCTCCCTGGTGTCAGGACCTAAAACCCAGTGTCTCAATGTTGCTAAGATTCTGTGGCTGTAGGTCTACATGCCTTCTATGAAGGTCTAGGACTTTAAGGTAACACCAGACCTGTGAGACTCAAGGGTGATAAGATGGCAGTGTTTCTGGGCCCAGGGCCTTATTGTTTCCACATTCTTTGCTTTCTGGGTCTCCTGTTTCCAGGGCTATGGAAGGTTCCCAGGGTTCTTGTTACCTGCTTCATATTGGTACCAAACATAGAGCTGCTCATATGTATAATGAAGACCACATTTTCCCCCATAAGTGGGAAGCCTCCGCATAAACCTGGAAAAAAGAAGTGAAACCAAGAAAGGCTATAAAAGCTAATCTACATTAAACCAAAAAATCCAAGGCAAACCCACTGCCATCGAGTTGATTCCTACTCACAGTGACACTGTACAGGGTTTCTGAGGTTTACAGGTCTCCTATAAATCTTATAGGAGCAGAAAGCTTCATTATTCTCCCCTGGTGTAGCTATTAGGTTTGAACTGTTAACCTTCCTATTAACATTCCAGTATGTATCCTACAGCACCACCAGGGCTACAGTCTAAATTAGGACCTCTCTCTTTTTTGCCTTTATAACACCCTGTTCTAAGTAGACATTTATAAAATTGCTTGTTCAGTGTCCCAGCTCCTCCACCAAAACTCTGTCTCTGCTGTTCAGCCTGCCAGCCTGCCAGGAACTGTGGATGAATGTCAATTGCTGGTGGCCCAGAGCACCAAGGTTCAGGATTTCTGTAGTATATGAGTTCTTGTCTGTGAGAAAGCTGGTCTTGGACTGACTTGGGAGTCCCCAGAGACATTTTGCTTGTGCTCCAGGAACTGTTAAGTATTGTTTTAACCTCCCTCTATAAAATGAGCTTGGAAACTAGTTGCAGTCACTGCCAGGGGCTGGGAGTTTGCAGGGCCTCCCTTTCCTCCTTAAGCCTCCTCTCTGCTGTTGCTGGGCAGAGCAGGGAGGGAAGAGGGGGCAGAGGCTGAGGGAACTGTCTACTTGGAGGGGATTGGTTAGGCCAGGTACAGATACTTCTGGCTGCCATGGATGTGATTGGTTTTTGACTGTCCCCACCCTCCCCCAGTTCCCTTTCCCAGTCCATCTCTTCTTCAGCTGTCTGGGGCTGGCACAGCCAGGGAAAGGGAGGAGTAAGTTGGGGTGGGTGTGGGAGGGGGAACTCAGCCCCTAAAGCCTGAAGCAGGGTGTGCCCAGATGCAACCTATTATCTTCCTCTCTGCACTGCAAGCACTCTGACCACAAGGCTGGACACTGTCTCCTCCTTCTCCCTCAGGGGGCAAGGGGATCTGGGAGGACATGGAGTCTTCCCCTCCACCTGGCCTTTGCATTAGCTCACATCTGCTTGTGCAGTTTCTGTCTCCCCTTCTCCTGGCACTCTGTAACAAGCCTGGGTCACCCACCCTGCAATTGCCTCTCCCAGATCTGGGCAGGTGAGAATTGCAGAGAAAACCACATGCCTACCCATCCATGGTCCCAGCCATGCCTGGGGACCCAACCTCATATCCCATAACCCACAACATGTGCTGGTTCACCAACCACTCACATTCCCCTCAGCAGTCATTCCACACCTTCACCTCTCCCCTTCAACTATCCCACCACACAACTCTCGAGTGATGCTTCACCTTCTACCTCATCAAGAAGCTTTAACAGACCAGTCCATATCCCCTTTCACAGTCCACCTACCCTTGCATGAGGGTACACATCTTCAAAGACAGCTTCCCCTTGTTTAAGGCCAACACAGTGCTACCATGTGCCCAGTGCATTTCCAGCCCCAGCACCCACTCAGGCTCTTTCTCTCTTAACACCCCCCACCCAAAACACATACACACACTCACACACACACACACACACACACACACACACACACACACACTACTGGGTCTTCCAGTCTGATTATAAACTCGTTTGTGGTTTTTCCATCCACTAAAGCAACACCCCTTGTCTGTACATCCCACCCAAACTTCCAACTAGCCTCTCTCTTCCCCTTAGCATTCCATGGTAATGACTCACCCCTGCAATGCTTTCTCGCCTTCAATTCCCTCTTCAGGACTTCATAGACTGACTTCACACCCACCACTGTGCTGATACTACTCTCCTAAAGGCAACTGGAGTAATGCACTGGACTGCAAAGTCAGTTTGGACCGCAAGGTCGGTAGTTCAAGCTAACCCGCCACTCCTTAGAAACCCTATACAGGGTCGCTATGTGACAGAACCGACTTGATGGCATATAGTAAAACAGCAACAACAACAAAGGCAACAATGACTACTTGTTTCCAAACTCAATGGGTACATTGCCACTCTCATCATACACCACCTCATTGCTGTATTTGACAATGGACCATCACTTCTGTTTTGTGATCCTACCACCTTGTGATCCTACCACCTCTCTGGCCCACATGATTCAGTCTCTTTCACAGATGCCCCCTTTTCCCCCTGTCCCTTACCAGTGCCCCAATAGTTTTCCTGTCAGGGCACACCACGACAATGATCATGTTGGTGCAGCACAATGGGAGTAAACAGTGGGGATGGACTGTGGGCTGGCTCCTCAGCAGACTATTGGCAGTTGGTGGGAATGGAATCAGGAGTGACTCAGACTCCACCTGGACATCCTGAGGGCCTAGAGATCAGTCGCTCTGTGGTTTGAAAGTTCTGCCTCAGCATAGCCCAGCTGGATTTGTTCTTCTCACTTTGCATTTGCCCCATACATGACCTTGGTTTCAACCACCAAGTCTCCTCTGCTCCTGAGCCCTGTGGCTCTTTCTGCAGTCCAGTCCTGGCCACTCTCCCAATCCTGAACAGTGTGTCTATTCGCTGTTGGACCTGTGCACCAGGAGGTCTGAAGATGCCTCCAAAGCATCTGACCGAAACAAGAAACGATTCATATTCCCACCCTGTCCTTGTTTTTCTTTCTCCTATGTGGCACCACTACTCAGAGTGCATAGCAGATTGATGCCCCTGACTCCCCCTGTGCACCAGTCTCCTTTCATCCAATCACCCACCAATTCCTGCTGGGGTTGCCTGCTGGATACTCCTCAGGCCCACCCTCCACCTCCATCTCAAATGACCAAAGCACAAGTCCAAGCCTATTTCTCTCAGGTCTTCATGCTTCTTGCACGGGCCCTCACATCCATGCTTCTTTCTATCAGCTGCCAGCCCTTTCTAAACTCAAACATTACGCTGTCATTCCCTTTCATGTTTCATAAGGAACTCCACATTCCTTATGATTCCACCATGATCCTTGCCTGCCTTTAGCCTCATCCCTGGCCATTTCTTGTGGCTCAAGTCAATGCTCTAGGAAAGGCTATCTCCCTACACATGCCTGCACATTTCTTGTCTCCATTCTTTCTGCTATGCATCCCACTGTGCTGGCAAGCCTTCCCTTTCCTGCACAGCCCCCTCACTAGTCAGGGCAAACATCTTTTCCTTCTTGAACACCCAGGTCAGCCTCTGCCTCTTCCATGGAGCCTTCTCTCACCACCTTCTCTCCACCTTATGGCTTCCATCAACAACCTCTTGTTGTCACTGAAAGAGCTCTTCTTGTGTTGTGTTAATACTCTCTAGCTGCTTTCCCTGTATACAGTAAGTAGGATCTGCCTGTGAGTCACTAGAGGGTTCTCAACATCAGCCAACATCAGCCAAAGGCATGACATGGTTTAGGTGCCTAGTGAGTTCCAGTGGCACAGGACTGGATGTGCTGGACTTTGAACGATGGGGTGAACTGAAATAGGCAGTAGAATGGAAATTGAGGGGTTCTTGGTGGGTGACAGCAGGAGTCAGGGCACACAGTAGAAGGGAGAGTCCATTATACTATTTAATGCCTAGCTCCATCTCTTCTACCTATATTTCAATGATAAGTAACCGTGGAAAAGATAAAGAATGAAAAAGAAGGCAAATGTCTCCGCTAACTAAACACACCCTATGATAGAACAACTGGTTTTGGTCCCTGTTAGCAGTATACCATCTTCTCCTATTCAGACAGAGCAAATTACTTGTATTACCTTCCCATTGCAGGCCTCTCTATATTTGCACTTACATTTAGTTCCCTTTCTCTGTATGCCTTTCCCTTCACTTTATCCACCCAAGTAGAGGTGAAATCCATTTCTCCACAACGCATAGAACATGCTATTAACTCTTACTGGTTTTTTGTTTGTTTGTTTTTTGGCCTGTTAACTCTTTATTGATTAAAAATGAGGACACTTGCAATAAAATACAAAGTCAAAAAAAAGGCTGGAAACTTACATATTTTATATCTTTCATAATCTAACATGTGTCATAAGGAGAACCTTCCATGTATTGATACACCACTGTTTTATGCTCCAGATTATCAAATAGGATCAGCTGATTTTAAGATTTAGTTTAGAACTTAAGCAAGAAAAAAATCAAACAAATCCACTAGCCATTCAGAAAGACCACATACTTCACAAATAGCATTGGCACATGTTACCTAGTATTATTGTTGTTGTTAAGTGCCATCGAGTTGGTACTAACTCATAGCGACCTTAAGCACAGCAGAACGAAACACTGCCCGATCCTTGGCCAACCTCACTACTGTTGCCACGCTTGAGTCCATTGATGCTGCCACTTTGCCAATCCATCTCACTGGGGGTCTTCCTCTTTTTCTCTGGCCCTCCACCTTACCAAATATGAGATCCTTCTCCAGCGACTGGTCCCTCCTGACAATATATCCGAAGTATGAGAGACGAAGTTTGGCCATCCTGGCCTCCAAGGAGCACCTAGTGCTACAGTTAGTGCCTATTCCAGGGATCAGAGGATTATTAAATAGTATTAGCTGGCTCTAGGATTTGGTTTGGAGTCCTGGTGTGGCACTGCAGGTTAATGCGTTGGACTGCCAAGTCGGTTTGAACAGCAAGGTTGCTATGGGTTGGATCTGACTCCACAGCACTTAACAGCAAAAACATAGCTAGTCTCTAAGGAGCTCTGGTAGCTAGTGGTTATGAGTCGGGCTGATCACCTCAAGGTCAGCAGTCTGAAACTATTATTAGCCGTTCCGTGGGAGAAAGATGAAGCTTTCTGCTCCCACAAAGATTTACAGCCTCGGAAACCCTATGCAGGGTCGTTATAAGTCGGAACCAACTCCACGGCACACCACCACCGTAGTTAGTCCCTATCCCATGGATCAGAGGATTCTAGGGACTGAAAGACAGAGGTGCCTGCTGGACCACCACTCCTGCAAAAGGGTGGGGTTGCACATTATATTACTTGCTGCCCCACTTGGGCAGTTTCTGTTCACTTACTATCTCAGCACCCCTGAACAAGCCTGCTACTGGTTTTTGTCTCTGGCTCCTGCAGGACTGTGAGATTATGAAGAGAAAAATATCTCTCTCCAGGCTGTGTCCAACTCAGTTCTGAGTTCCTGAAGTCATGAATGTAGGAATATGACCAGAGTAGCTGAACTCATGTGTTCAAGTCTGAATGAATACATATGTCCGTGAGGAAAAGTGTGTTCAAAGCATCATTTTAGCCCTAGACAGAGAGAGGAGTTTGAGTACAGAGCAGGGTCATCAGGAAGTTCGCATTTGTGCCAGGTCTTTAAGGAGTAGTTGGGTGCTAAGCAGTGAAGAATGGAAGAAGACATTCCCAGGGGAGTAGATGGTCTGAGCAAATGCTCAGACACAGATGGATGGCAAGGTCATGTGCTCTTGGGAAAAGGCTGTGGTGTGGTGTGGTGTGGGACAGCTGAAGGGTGGTTTATGTCCTTGGAGCAGTGGAAAGTGTGGCTTTGGCCCAGACCTGTATGCAAGGGACACAGGCCTCTGGTGGACCTCTGTATGTGCTCAACCAGTGTATGAGCTCACAATTTACGGGCTTCCTGTTTATGCATATGGCTCCACTGAAGCAAAGTGATTTTTAGTAACTGAGAGATCAGGAGATTCCAGGAGAGCCTGAGTGTTGTTAAGTGCCACCGAGTCTGTTCTGACTCATAGCAAACCTCTATAACATTTCTGAGAAGGGGCTGGTGGGTTTGAACCACTGACCTTAAGGCTCAAACAGCCCTTGTCATAAAGTGTGAGAGCCCATGTGTGTAAGAGAACAATTACTGGCCAATGGCTCACTGTCCCATCATTAAGATGGGCTATGACTCGATTCATTTGGAAATGGGCTCACTTGTATGCAGTTTCAGGTAGCCAAACTTTTTAGGGAGCAGATGTGCCTCCCAAGATGTAAAGCCCTGTGTCTCTCAATGTCGTCCTCCCATTGTTACCTAGTCCACAGGTGTCCCCAGGGAGCAACTTGTTGAGGGTAGTCTTTGCCTGTCTGACTCCAAAGCTCAAACTCTTCCCATTTCTCCAGGCCCCTCACCTGCACCTCTCCAATGATGTCCTCCATGACCTCAATGCCTGAGCTGAAGAAGTCTGAGTATTCTTGCAGTGATAGGTAGAAAGTGATATGAACACAGGTGTCTCCCCTCTCAATCCTGGTGGATGGGGCTGAGTCAGTCTCACCTGTGTGGGTGGATTGGGTTACCATGGAGGGCTCGCAGAAACATCAGCCATCTGAGGTGGGTTAGAAATCTCCTTCCTAACACTGTTCTTCCAGCCTACTAAACACCATTCCACCTGTTCAAGAACCACTCTCTTCTCCAAGTCCTGCCAATAGCTCCTACTGTTCCTCCTCCAGGAATCCCCTGACTGACAGAGGGAGACTGACAGAGGGAACCTCCCTTCAGCCCCCTGCCTATGGCAGTTTCTCACATTCTCACCATGAGCCAGCTCCCATCCACTCAAGCGCCCAATATCTGACCTTTAATCCTGAGCACTGTCATGTCCATAGATAGAACAAGAGACTGGGTCTGCCACCAGACAAATGGTGCGGTACATGTTTGAAGAGAGAGAGACACATAGCACTTACTGTTGTGGAGAAATAGCACAGCTCCTCTGGACTAACATGTTAATGTTGTCTTCCCTCTCTGCTTTGATTCTCCTAATAATGTGTGTGAAGAAGCCTGCCAATGTCTCATGAAATCACACATGCATGTTTGGTCCTGGATATTAGCTGAGCTGGCCACAAGATCAACTTCTCCTAAACTTTAGTTCTAGAAAAATGTCCATTTATACATGTGTATGTGCCTATTTGTCCAGAAAACATAAACTTGGGAATTCTGTTTCCCCCACCCCCACTTCCTGTTGCAGCTGTCAAGAATGCTTGGGGGCAAAAGGAGCCCCATACTTTTCTGCCTAGCCTGTTAGCATACATTCCCTTGGCTTGTTTCCTTCCTCTCAGAGGTCTTTGTTCTGTTTTATCCCCACAGGATTGCTCCTCCCCTATGCTTTAACCTTTAAGGAGAAACTGGGAGGAGTTTCCATTTATAACTTAGGAATTACAAGTGCAAACTCCAAGGATTCACATGGCCTATGAGCCCAGGTCACTGCTGCTGACTGTGTAAGCTTGGATGTTATTTACACTTTCTAAGCCTTAGTCTCCTCATCTGTAACACAGAATTTTAAGAGCTCCTATCTCATACAGCAGTAGCTCTGGTAGTGTAGTGGTTACGAGTCAGGATTCTAACTCAAGGTCAGCAGTTCAAAACTACCAGCTGTTCTGCGGGAGAAAGATGAGGCTTTCTGCTCCTGTAAAAATTTATAGCCTTGGACACTCTATGCAGGGACACTATGAGTCGGGACCAACTCCACGGCACATAGCCATCACCACCCACAGCACATAGCTATCACCACCACCATCTCATACAGGGTCGCTAGGAGTTGGAAGTGAGCTGTCTGCACTTAACAACAATAATGACATTTCATACAGGGAGTCCAGGTATGGTTCTGTAGGATAAGGTGCTGGACCCCAAGGTTAGTTTGAACCACAAAGTCGGTGGTTCAAATTAGTCAAGAGGCATGAACAAATTAGTCAAGATCTCCAATTCTAAGCAGCTTTGTCAGGGTGGCAACATGAAGTGGGTGGTTTCTCTATATTTCATCTATAAGCTACTCACTCAGTGGTTCTCCAACCTGGCTGACCTTCAAGCTCACATGGAAACTGTTTAAAAACACAAATTCCTGGATCCCACCCCAACTCAGAGTCCTGGTGTAGTGCTGTAGAATAAACACTGGTCTGCTAACTGCAGTGTTGGTAGTTCAAACCCACCAGCTGCTTCTTGGAAACCCTAAACAGTGTTCATATGAGACAGAAACAACTTAACAGCACTTAACAACAACTACAACCCTAAGTCAGAGAGTCAGACTACACAAAGGTGGAGTCAATGAATGTGTAAATTCAAGTGATAATTTTGATGAAACTAGTCTCTAGTCCTGCCTTTTGAAAATCTCTCGATAAAATTTGAAGCAAGCTTGACAGCCAGGACACTTCTCTGCTCTACAGAGCCTGAGACAGATCCTTAAGGACTGCCCACACTGCACAGTGTCTTCTAATTCTCTTCCATTCTCAGTGGTGATTCAGGGGAAAGTAAGATTTTGCATTATGCCTTCCACCACCTTTTTAATACATGATTTCACCTTGTTCCGCCAACAGTAGATCGCTCTGTCCCTGTAGTTTGTTTGTTTTGTGTAGATGACAGAAATCAGGATTCTGCAATGTTATGTGACATGGCAGGTTCACAACACCTGCCCAGGCCAGACCAGTGTTGCTGCTGTGTGCTGTCGTGTCACTTCAGACTCATACCAACCCTAGGTTTTCTGAGAGCAGCTAGTAGATTTGTACTGCCAACCTTGTGGTTACCAGTTCAGTGCAGTGTTGCAACCCAAATATTCCCAACTCCAAATATGCCCTCTTCTCACTTTTGAATGGGGAATGGACATGCCAGTGAGCACAGGACAGAAATGACTATAGAGTGAATCCTGTGGGAAAGAGACATATTCCCATCCAGGGAAGGATTATTCTGGTGATTGTCCCATTGTGCTCCCCACATACTTCAGTGGTTGCTCGTGAGCAGACAGCAGGTCCTCAAGGGTGGCATATTCACATAGGCAATACCTGTCCTTTCTGAAACTGTCATCTCTACACTAAGCCTTGTCACCAATTGGTCAGGCCTCAGGCTCGCCACCAGCTGGTACTTTTCCTGGTGCCACTGCAGCAGCTCCTCATAGACCCCAAATGTCACTGGATTGCCTGCTGCCAGGTTAGTAGAGATGTGGAACTTCTCTGACTCCCAGTCCTTGGGATAGAAAGAGAGGCGAGCAGGAAAGGTATGGGGTCTCATAAAGTTTAGGGAAATTGTTAGATGACCTGGTTCTGCCCTTTCTCCCTTGCCCCCCAAAGACTCTATAGTCTATGAGACCAGGTCTCATGGATAATTAATCCCTAAGTCACTTTCCCAGTATGTCACCTATGCATTCACCTAATCAACCTTCCCTCCATTCATTCATGTAAATTTTATGCTGGAGAAATTATATAAGGAGGCTTTAACAATTTTGTGGAAAAATTGAATGAAAAGATCATGGAATTTTCCACAAACATATTGTATCACAGGCAGTTCACCTTTAAGGAAACTCAGTTCAGAACAGGATAATTTAAGACTAATAATTTGTTTTATAAAAAGGTTTTTCAGTTTACCCATAATGTCTCTTCTCCTTCAAAGAGTCCTTCATACCCACTACTCCTCCATGCTTTAGACTGTTGCTGTTGTTGTTGTTGTTAAGTGCTATTGAGTCAGTTCTAACTCATAGCAACTCTGTATAGGATTTTCAAGGACCCATTAGGTTTGAACCACCAATCTGTGGTTAGCAATCCAAGGTTTATCCTGTAACGCCACACCAGGCTTGTGTATAATCCTAAAATTTATGTGCTTGATGAAACTCTTTTGGAAACTGGGAGGAAATATTGAAGAAAGACAACACATTTCTGCCAACAGAATGGAACTAAGTTAGAGACAGTATTCAAGTTAGACACATTTCATTTGCAAATAAGCTTTTTGGAAAGTGGCAATTCTTAAGTAAGACACATGCTATGTTAGGAGGAAAGTGGAAATGGGGCCATGAACTCTCATTTATTGAACAGGCTTTGATATGAACCCACATCATCTAAATATAATCACATGAAAAAGATTATTGTCCCCATTTTACAGAGGTGGAGACTGAGACCCAGAGAGAATGCCTTTTCAAATGATTAAATAAGATGAGTCAGGTTTCAAACTGGATGAAGCCTTATCTGATGGCCTACATCTTTCCCTGTTGAAGGGCTTCTTCATGGATTTTCTTTGTCTATGCTTCTCTGACTCCTACAAGGTAAACTTTATTATTAATGGTTCTAATGAGGCAGGAAAGAGGAAGGGACAAACAGGGACAGAGGGAAAAAAGGAGAGATGGTCAGAGACATACAGAGAAAGAAAGAGAACAAGGAGGATGCGGGATGGGGAAACTAAAAGAACAAAATGGTGTCATTAAGCCAGAGAGCACAAACAAGTTAGGAGAAGAGAAGAGAGGGAGAGGAAACCAGGTGACATAGTCTCAATATGTCCATTTATCAGAACATGTAGTAGGCATGTAGTAAACCTGATGTTAGGATTTAGTGTTTCTCAAAGATTTGAAGACGCCTCACTCCCACCCGTTCCCCCTTTAGAAGGCTATTTTATTTTTTAAGTTTTTATTGTAATTTGAGTAAAAGTTTTCAGGGCAGATCATCAGTTTTAAATCAACAAATCATATATTTTGTTTCATTGCAATGATTATAATCCCTTCCATGTACCATCAGTTAACAATATTTCTCTTTATTCATTTTAACTCTTTTAATATTTTTTTAAACACTCAGGCATATATAATAATTTAAACTACCAAAATGACATTCTGCAAGTCTGCTTCCTGGCCGCCAGTTCTCAATCCCTCTCTTTCCATGAATCTAGAGTCCTCAGCTGCTCCCTCTCTCCATGTCCCCATTTCTGCCTCCATCTCTGGTGTTGCTGCTTCTCTGGATGAGGTCCCGCTCTTCTTCCTTGATGGTCCTGTTGTTGTTGTCAGGTGCCATCGAGTCGGAACCGACTCATAGCGACCCCATGCACAGCAGAATGAAACAATGTTCGATCCTGGGCCAACCTCACTACCGCTGCCACACTTGAGTCCATCAATTATGCCACCTGGCTGATCCATCTCGTTGGGGGTCTTCCTCTTTTTCTCTGACCCTCCACCCTACCCAGCATGACATCCTTCTCCAACGAGAGAAGGTCCTAGGGCCCTCTATTCTTGGAATGTAAGATTGACTACTCCCCCATTTTTGTTACAAAACTTCTACCTTTACAATTGTGATAATCTCAATTAGTCATAATAACAATTATTCACTATTGAATCATATCGCCCGTCTCTTTTTTTTTTTTAGGTTTTTATTGTGGATTGAGTGAAAGTTTACAGGGCATATCATCAGTTTTACATTAAACAAATCATATACCTTGTTTCATTACATTGATTATAATCCCCTTCATGTACCATCAGTTAACAGTATTTTTCTCTATCCACTTTAGCTTTTTAAAAAAACAAACATACAAAAAACAAAAAAAACCCTCAGGCATATATAATAATTTATATCTCCAAAGGGCACATTCAGCCAGTCAGCTCCTGGTCACCAGCTCTCAGTCCTTCTCTTCTTAGTCCATGAATCTAGAGTCCTCAGCAACTCCCTCTCTCCATGCCCCCATCTCTGCCTCCATCTCTGGCGCTCCTGCTTCTCTGGATAAGGTCCCGTATTCTGCTTGTGCGTTCCTCTCTTGATGGTCCTAGGGTCCTCTGTTTCTGGACTGTAAGCTTAACCACTATCCTTTTTTTGTTACAAAACTTCTACCTTTACAATTGTGACAGTCGTGATTAGTCATGATAGCAGTTATTCACTATTGAATCTTATGAATCTTATCCCCATCTCTTTTCACCAGACCCATCTAGACATGATGACAGCTATTCAGTGGGGACTCTTTCTTTACTCCCCCACCCAATACTCTTAAACTAAACTCCCTCTTGAAACCTTGTAAGCCAGTCACTTTGTGCCTTTATTG